GTGTTTCCCGAAGGAAACCTTGTGCCATCCACAGTTTGATCAAAGTATCCCTCTCAAATCTGAAGTCTTTTGGAAAGACTGCACAATATGAGAAACACCGTCTCATATCAGAGGGCAGGTCATAGTAGCTCAACCATAAAGGAGCCAAAATTTTGCTTTCAGCTTCTTCAATCTCCCAGACATGGCTGTTCAAGACACTTTCCCACTCTTCTTTTCTACTTTTAAAGCGCAAAAGACTTCCTAGACTCTTTGCAGCAAGAGGCAAGCCTTTACACTTAGCTGCGATTTCTCTACCAATATCTTCTAAATCTCCTTTCTCTCTACTGTCTTTTTCAAAACATGCTAGCCGACTGAATAGTGACCAACATTCCTCCGTAGAGAGAAGTCCTAGTTCTAAAATGTCAGTGGGTGAGGAGCCCATACTACTCGCGACATTCCTCAATTTGCAACATTCCTATTACGGGTGGTCACCAAAATACTACTTCCATGCAAACAACCACACGTGAGGGTGTTTCTCAGTTGCTCCCACTTTGTGGAATCTTCATTCCACACATCATCTAGGACAAGCAAGAATTTCTTTCCCCTAACCAATGATTGTATGTTTTCTAGTAAAGACTGCAATTCGATTAAATCTGTGGCAGAACCCTTGAGAGCTTCAAGGATTGCCTTGGCAATCCTTGTCTCATCAAAGGGATCTGATACACAAACCCATATTCTCTTCTCAAAATGGGTCGCCACCTCATGATCATTATAAACTAGTTGAGCAAGGGTTGTCTTTCCTATCCCTCCCATCCCTACTAGAGAGATTGTACGGAGGGCTGGTCCATGACTACTCTCACTCAACAACATACTCATCACCCTATCTTTATCCTTTTCTCTACCTTTAACTTCTGTTGCATCTATAACAGAAGTGGTTTTTTGATGTTCAAGCTGTTTAATTCCCACTTCAGATGATTTGAAGTGGAATCTATCTTTCTCAATCACAATGCCATCTATTTTTTCATTCAGTTCTCTTATCTTATGAGCAATATCACAACGCAAACCAACTTCTCTGAAACAAAGGCAAGAGAAGATCATGGAGCATACCTTCCTAGCAGTCTTGCGGGAATGCTCACTTACCTTCATTTGTAATTTTGCAATTGCCGTGCGCCACTCATCCAGAACATCATCCATATCATAAGATACGCCTTTGAGCTGCTCTATCCAACGTTTGATGGAGCCATCCTTCAACTGTCTTTCCTCTGCATCGGCAAGCACAGCTTGTATGGCCTGAAAATTGCTGGTAAGCTTCCGAACCTCGTTCTCGACACCAACAACGAGCCTCACTTCCTGTTGCACCTCCTGAGCAAGCATTAAGCTCAGCTGCTCCAACACTACGGAAACAAGAGCATCAGCCATATTATTCAGAACTAAGGAATGGTTGAGAGAGGATAAAACTGAAATAAAAGGATAATAAATTTGGAAATGTGCAATATAGGGAGTAATTGATTGGTTGAGAAAAGAGGAGAAATAAAAAAGAGGAGCTTATGATTTGATGGTGCTTCATATGATCTATTACTTGATGTATATATAGGGAATTGGAAAAGGCCATGGAATCTCTTAATTTCATGCACTGAAGCGAAAGAGCTTTGCTTTCATGATGGTTTTTGGGAGACTTGTTTTCCCCAAGAAATGCCCTTTATTCTTTCCTCTCGAGTTCTCAGAAGAAATATTCCAATATTTACAAGAGCAAGCTAATCATGTTATTCCATAAATCGTTCTTTTTTTACTTTGGATGGGAATTTTTTTCCCCTTTATAGTCATTAAGATTGCTTAATGCTTGATGCAAGAATCTGATGCAAGTGCAACAACCAAGTACGTAAACTAAGAGAAGGGGAACACGGATGGAATCTGATGCAGATGCAAACATTCAGCCTACAGTTTGTTCTAAGGTTTCTGAAACAACGTATCATTGACTAGAATTTCTTTCTTTGAATGGGAACTTTGTTGTAAAAGCCTTGGTGTTGATCAAATTCACTCCCATTTTATTATCGTTACTTCTATTTCATCTGATTGATCTCTTGCATGACAAAGATGGCATGTTCTCTTACATTATTGTTGGTCTGTCTAAGCAGGGTGAGTGCTGCATTTATCAAATGTAGTTCAGTGTATCAACCTCTTACCTCGGTTGATCTTCTGTACTATCACAGAAGTTTTTGTTAGAAAAACAATGAAAAAAATAAAAATTAGATTATCAGTAATTAATGTATGCAGTCACTGGTAAAATCTGCTGAACTCTAACATTTGATTAGCAATATATATGAAAGATCAGGTCGAGCCGTTCGGTTTCTCAATGAGGTTCATGCCATTCCAAGATTCAACTATGTACCAAAATATAAATGCCGCTATTCTTTTGGGTGATTAATGTATGGTTCTTAGCCAGAACTCACAATAACCTGCCTAGGTTAAAGCAGAGAAAGATCAAGTAGAAAATTACTAGTTTGATTTTGTTCTTAATTCTGGACCAACTTGATGTGATCACTCAACTTCTAAATCCCAGTAGCAAGAATTGAAAGTGACGTGAAAGCCAACGAACAACTCATCAAAATTAAGGGTTAACATTTTTAAGTCCTTCAGTACTAACTAACAAATCTCACCAATTGACAAACATCTACTGTTTCTTGCTTTGATTATTCTCTCTTCTTTGCCACTACTGTATTTATTTATTACATGGTTGGCCATGCTTTGATCTACATGGATATTTTAATAATGGTTTTTCTTCTTCTTTTTTATTGAAAGAGAGACCGATTTGATTGATAAAAGAGAGGCAAAAGGCCTGTGAATCACAAGACAAGCAAAAATATGAGAGACAAGTTCAAGCAAAAAGGAGGACCTTGTTGATAAAACCTGTGCTGGTGGCAAGACTTTCTGAAAGAAGATTGAGCAAATTGCTAGGAAAAAAGTGGAACTATTATCAATGATGCAGTTAAGTAGTTTTGGAGGTGGCATGAATGGGAGGATGAAAAGTTTTTGTAAGGTTTTGCTAGATAACAAATAAAGCAGTGAAGAGAAATCCTAGACCCAGCACACCTCCCAAAAACCTGTAGGTTCCTGATTTTCTTCAATTAAGTAACTTGTTCGATTTAAAGAAAAAAAAATAAACCATAATTCCAGTCTTCACCATTTCTTTCCGCACACAGCGGCCAAAGAGAGAACGGGACTAATACAAATAAAGCAATCAGTTAAATCCAAGAGCCACCAGCATCCTTGAAGCCTGGGGGGCCCTGGCATCCATCAATCAAATTCTTCCATCAAATCCAAGCTGTATCTACTATAAGGAAGGGAGATGAAAGATCCCGCAGTGAATTGCTGATATATATCAATAGTCTATCAAAATCTTATATTCAAACTGACAAGCTCTCAGCAAAGCTAACGTGGAAATAGGGGCGGCAGCAATTTTGTGACAGAAGCATCAACATGAAGTCCAGAACCCACTCATACAAGGAGAACCAGAAAGTTAAGCTTTGAGCTTTGCCTTGTGATTTCAATATGCTGTCATTCTTATTTCTCAAGAGCAAAAAGTGAATAAACTCCTGTTTCATATGCAATCAATCAAACTGCAGGCAGGAACCTTCCTACCTCTAGCCTCCACCATTGTTTTCCTTATATCAGCAGCAACACCCCATCTATTCACCCCAGCATGAATGCTAGATAAAGCCACATATTGACCACAATGCTGTGGCTGCAATTCAAGTAACCTGCTTCCCACTTCATTTCCCAAATCAATAGCTCCATGAATCTTACAAGCACCTAAAAGTGCACCCAAAACTGAAGCATCTGGCTCGAAAGGCATCCTCCTTATAAATTCACTAGCTTCCCTCAATAATCCTGCCCTTCCCAAAAGATCAACAACACACCCATAATGCTCCATTATTGGCACCAGGCCAAACTCACCAGCCATTGATTGAAACAACTCCAGCCCAATCTCTACAAGCTTGGCACGAGCGCAAGCAGTAAGTACAGCAATAAAGGTGACCTCATTTGGACACAAACCTTCCCCTTTCATCTTTTTAAACATGTCCAGAGCTTGTTCTTCTCTACCATTGTTAGCAAGTGAAGAAATTATAGCATTCCAAGTACAAACCTTTTTAACCACCATTTTGTTGTAAACTCTAATGGCATTACTCAAACAACCCACTTTTCCATAAAAATCTACCAATGATGTCCCAATAAAAACAGTAACAAAAACCTCATTCCTTACTATAGACCCATGTATTTGCTTCCCTATAGAAAGGACCCCTCTTTCATCTAAATTAGCGCATGATGATAACACACTAACATATGTGGCCTCATTGGGTTTAACAAAACAACACTTTACATCATCATGCAACATCATCTCCCTAAACAGCCTAATTGCCTCACCAAGAAGTCCATTCTTTGCAAACCCATTAATAACACTAGTCCACGAGACTACATCTCTCTTAGGCATGCTTTTAAAGAGACAACAAGCAGAACCCATGTCACCATTCTTCGCATAAGCATCTAGCATTGCATTATATTCAACAATACATGGGTGCGAGATTTCATCAAACACCTTGCAGGCATTAAGTAAGTCACCAAACTGCGAATACATACCCAACAATGATGTTTGTATAAAGGGGTCATAAAGAACCCCACGATTGATAGCTTGGGTGTGAAGGGAAGTGCCTATAGAGAGGCAAGAATGTGTGGCTGCTTTGATTATGGAAGGGAAGGTGTGGCTGTTTGGTGGGGTTTGGCGGGCAAGCATGAGAGCGAAGAGGTGAAGAGTTTTTTGGTGTTGTCCGAAATTGAGGTAGGCTCTTATTAGAGTGTTGTAAAGAAGGGTAGTTTTCCATTTGGAGTTGTCTTTAGGGCATGTGTTTGGGTTATAAAGGAGGCCTTTGGCTGTTATGAGGGAATGGATTTGTTTGACTTGGTTTTGGTGTTTGATAAAATGCTGGAGAAGTTGGAGTAGAAGTTCAGCGGGGGGTGGCGGCATGGCATTACTACAAGTTATGGGTTTCAAAGTTTTTGAGACTGTAAATTGCCATAAATCTAATGATTGTGGTTTTTCTAAAGTTGCCTTCCATGCTATTAAAAATAAAATTTGTTCTACAATATCAAGTTTATATTACCCTGTCTGAATTTCAAGAAAAGCAAGTTAAACCAACTTAATTTTAAATTATTATTTTGAAGTTAAAACCAAGTTATTTTTGTATTAAAAAAAATTGACTAACAGACTAACTGTATGCCAACTTCTATCTAGTTTTACTTGAAACTCAGTCATGCTCAAGCCCTAAATAACGCAACAGGCATCAATGAAAGACTAAAAACACATAAAGCAAATGTATCAAAGTACGCTTGGATGTTTATAAAACTCCTCGTATAACCTTATAAATGATAGCTGTAAATGTTTTACAATTTCCTATTGACACGATTGTATTCAGTATAAATAATTTATGTATTTTTGGGCTGAGGTTATCATGGATAGCACAGTACATGTTGACAATGAGAAGAGTCCTTGTCTTCAGTTAATCAGAGGTCTCGCTATGCTTAACTCTTCGTCGGGTGCGGTTTCACTAAGAACTGAGAACTCGTCTGGTAGCGGAACATTTAGCTCTGAACAAACAAACTGAATAATTCTTCTAGTTGCAGTCCCGAGTGACATTTTGTTCAAGGTAACTGCAATTGCGAACCTGCTTTTAATATCACAAAAACCTGTGGATCCACCCATACCCGAGTGCCCAAATCCATAAAAGGATCCATCACTTGAACTAAATCTCCTAAAACCTAGTCCGAATTTCCCATTTGGCAGTACTAGATTCCTGTACTCACCCACGCCCATGAACTCATCATGAATTCTGGGGTTATTAAAAATCCTGATGGCATTATTTTGGCGAGAGTTTTTGCTGGCTGCAAAGCCTTTGGGTGGACTAGAATCACTGCTGCTGCCACCAGCGCTATCATTAGCAAGCCTGGTATACCCATCACTGTTACTTTCTCCACCATCCTTGAAATCTTTACTGTGATTCATCTTGAGCTCATAACCATTTCCTTTCTTCTTTGAAGCAGAACCCTCTGCCTTACTCTTCTTACCTTTCTGCTTTTTGGAGGTAATCTCTGAAGGAAATTTGGGAATGTGTGGGTGGGTACCAAGGGGTGGCTTCGACAAAGAGGAATGAGGTGGCGGGACCAGGCCTCCATCAACAAGAGCTGCATAGTAGCGTGCAAGAGCACGAGCTGAGCAATGTCCATTAGCACCTGGTATAATGGCGCGACGAACGTTCAGCATGTTAAACAAAGCAGGCACTGCAGTTACTAGTTGGGAAATGTTCTCTGGCTGGAAGGTGGAGGGAAGTTCAGGACGACTAGCAATTTTTGAGAGCTTGCTAAAATCATCTTTATCTAATGTCAGACATGCAAGTCGAGATTCCACACCTGGAGGAGACACATGACAAGCATTAATGTGCCAAACATGAAAAAAAACTTTGAATTTACAATTTGCAGGAGAATGATAACTCTACCATGGAAGGAAGGACAGGCAGATAGTATGACCACTTGAAAAAGAAAAAAAGCAATTGCATGGGCAAATCTTTTGTAGTATTTCTGCTAGCAAAGCAAGAACATTGAATACACAGACTTTAACAGATACCTGGAGGAATTCCAACATATAGCTCGCCTTCAATGTTGAGAGGTCGAATTATTGCTTCTTCAAGGATCTCCTGAAATTTCTTCCCAGAGGCATGCTGTTTCATTAAAGCACATTATTAAAATGCAGGAGAAAACAAGCTCCCTCCGAAAAAAGATGCAGATCAGACATTCCAATCATAAAGCAATTCAAAGAAAAAAATGCGGACATCAGCTTCGTGGTTCTTTCATGTTCAAACACTTGAACATGGGATTGTACCTCGATTATTCCACCACAAAGCCAGCCAAAAGACAGATAGTGATACAACTGCTCTTGGCCAGGTTCAGTCTCGGGTGCTGACATAGCAATCCGTTTCAGACATTCATCCCAGTCAGCCATTAGCAAAGGATTTTCTTCTCTGAGGTTGGCCAGAGCATTTTGCAAACCAGATGTATGATTAAGAACATGGTGGACCTAAACAGAAAAAAAATAAGATAATTGAGCATACAAAGGAGCTTCAGGTGGTAATCTGAAAGGTTTAGCACGTCTAGGGAAATAAACTTTCACACCTTGATGAGATTCTTTCCGTTTGATCCAAACTCTGGCCAAATATTAGCAATATTTTCATTGAGGTTCAGTTTTCTGCAAGACAACATGCGACTTTTTGTGACCAACCACAAAACACATTTTGCATTAAGTTTGCCTTAAATTACTACATACTGGGCAGAATTACTCATGCTAAAAATGATATCCTATCTAAGAACCGGCAAGGAGCTCAAAAGAAAAATCAATTGTAAAAGGTTCCTCATGTAGAAAAGAAAAATCATCTAGTCATATAACCAAAATGCTGACATAGTTTATGCAGGATAAACACCAGTGCTTGTGTCGATATTGTTTTTAGGAAGCAGATCATGCATTCAGTAATCCCAGTGAAAGCTTACAACTACATGAAAATTAATCCAAAACAAAACTACATACAAAAATAAATATTTTGCCCAGCAGTTCAGTAAATGATAACACACAAAAGGCTTTGCTTTCATACAATTACTGCTACATACCCATTGTCAACAAGCCAATGTAACATTG